GTTCCTGTGAAGCTTCCGCATGTGGTGCACCACGGCTGCCGCGTTGAAGGCTTGCTGGGAAGGCACCGCGCGTCAGGATCGCACCGGCCCCTTCTCCCCGGCTCGCTCTTTGGTCCTAGGAACTCAACAGGGTGCCTTCCACCACCTCCCACGCCCCCATCCCGGCCTGCAGGCCCCAGGGCAGCTCACCCGCCACTTGCTCTTGGCGAAGTTCTTCTGGATCTGAAGGCTGACCGAGGGGTAGATGTCCCGGTGCAGGGCCGTGTTGCCGTCAATCCTGTGGGTGCAGGCAGAGACCCTGGCTGCCGGCGCTGTGGACACAGCCTGGGGTGGGCCGGGAGCTGTGTCTAGGGCAGGTGAGAGCCCAGGGGAAGGGGAGCCCCAGGGTAGAGCTGGAGCAGGGTGCGCGGGCTCATGCTCTGGCAAAACCAGATACTTTAGGAGCGCAGTTGGTAGATGCGGCCCAGGGGCAGATCCACCTGTCGGCTGTGTTTCTCAAATAAGGGGAATGCAGCCATCTGCCACCCATTCAGCTCTGAGGTGGCTTCTGGGCCACGGCATCAGGGCTGAGTAGTTGTCAGGAGATGGCACGGCCGGCAAAGCCTAAAATACGCACATACAGCCCTGTCCTGGAAACTGGCTGGCCCGCCTCGCAGGGCATCCGTGCCTCCCCCGTGCTCTCACTCAAACCTTGCGTGGGAGTGGAAGCCGGGTCCCCTGGAGCCTTTCTTGTGAGGTCTTGGGCCACCAGCTACCCTCTCCCTCCCAGTCCCGTGTTCTTCAGACGCGTGCCACGTGCACACCCACTAGGGACCAGGGGAGTGAGACGGGCCACCCCCGGGAGCCTGCAGCCTGCAGACTAGAGAAGACAGGCGATGGTGAGCTCCCGAGTGAATCGACACAGGGAGGTCTGCGCGGGCTACAGGAGTCAGCCCTTCAGGGAAGGGATCCGGACCCTAAAGGAGGTGACACGGGAGGCAAGGAAAGAGCACAGGGAGAGGGGCAGCCGCAGGTCTGTGGAAATCCTAGGAAATGCATCAGAGAGAAAGGATTGGGCCAGGTCGGGGAACCTGGAAAGCGGGGGTTACTGTGGTAGGAGGAGGGGAGCTACTGCAAATCCTGAGCAGGGGAGCAGGTGAAAAAGCGTTTCAAGATTTTATTCGCCTGTTTTACCAACTGGCTGCTCCGTGATTGCTCTCAGACCCCTCATATGGAACAGGTTCTGACTTAGCGTGGAAGGAGAGGCGCTCCTCTTCACTAGTACCCAGCACTGCCGTGACACCAGTCCCCGCCGCGTCTGGCTCTGGCACCGGGAGGTGAGGTCCGGGGATCCCCGTTTCTCACTCACCAGGGATGCCTCAGGGCCTTCTCACAGGTGTACCGCTCGCTCGGGTCCTTCTCCAGCAAGTGGCAGATAAAATCCTTGGCTACGGGAGCAGTGAGAGACAACAGCTAAGACAACTTTCATGGGTGATGGAGACTCACTTCCAGACTGTGGGCGGCAGTGAACGCATCCTTAGCTCATCTTCCAAAGAGGCAATTTTGAGTTTTAAAAAGAGAGGAAAAAAAATCTAAGCCACCTAACAACGTGCCATAAGCCACCCAAGGAGAGGCTGTGGGCAGCTTCTCCCACACAGTGCTGCCGTGTCACGGGCCATGAGGCGCGTGCCTGCACCACGTGTGCTACATTTTCACCAGCACGTGGCGCACGTGTGCGTGCCTGTTGGTTCCAGTTGATTGTCTTTCCGCCGCCTCTGCACACCTGCGTGGTATGTGCTGTGCTGTGTCTGACCCCGAGGTCGCAGCTCATGCCCAGAGGGCTTCCACCCTGGCTCTGCCCTCCTGGCCTCCCACTCATTGCTCCCTGCCCTGCCCATTGTGGCAGCCTCTGGGTAGACAGCAGTGTGAACCTCAGACCCAGTAATTCTGCCTCTGAACCAGGCGAGGGCGGCCCTACTCCCGCTGGCAGCTTGCTCTGTGGGCTCCCCAGGAATCTGAAGGGCCAGGACTGTCAGCTTTGCTCCCCGCAGCCTTGGCCTTGAGCCTGCTATCTTGTTCTTCACACCCACCGCCTTACCTGACTCAGAAATGTCATCCCAGAATGGAGACTCGAACTCATAGTAGCCTTCTTTGATCTTCTCAAAAAGCTTAGACTCAGTCTCTTCGTAGAAAGGCGGGTACCCACACAGACTGCAGCGGGACAGCAAATGTGGCACTGAGCCACCTGTGCCCCCCGGCCAGCCTCCCCTCAACCTGCTGTGCACATGGGTGGGCACTGAGGTCCCAGGCCAGCAGTGCAGCCAGGAGGTGGACCTGCCCCTGCTGCCGGAGCGACGCAGGTTCCCCAGGCGCAGGAGCTGGCCCCAACCCGGTTTCCCAGAAGGCCACTGTGTGCCTGCTCCCCCAAACCTTCACCACCTCTCCCTGCACAGAACATCTCGAAGGAGGAAGTAGGAAGCTGGGTGCAATGGTAAATGCCTATAATCCCAGCCTCTGGGAAGCCGAGGCAAGAGGATCTCAAGTCCCACTGGGCATTTCAGTGACTTAGACAGTCTTCACGTGTGTGGGGTAAGCACAGTCTGAGGGAACAGAACAGTCCACACCAGGGGCAAACATCTGCTGGAAGATTATTCTCCCCAAGCAGAATCTGCTGTACATGGGCGGCGGCTGGGCTAGGAGAGGGCGCAGGAGTGTGCTGAGAGCCCTGGCTTTGCCTTGGGCTTAGGGCAGCAGGGCAGGAAGCTGGGTCCCCTGTTTCCAAAGCCTGGCGGGTACAGAGCAGGGGGGCCCAGGAGGCTGTGCAGGGCATGGTGGAGCTCTGGTCTGACTCGGTGCGCAGCAGGAGCAGGAGCTCTGGGGCCATGTGCGTACATGCAAGTGCACACGTGCTGTGCATGTGCCGAGGCAGGGATGGGGAAGGAGGAGCAAGCGGGCTCCGCGGTTACTCACAGGATGTAGGTGATGACGCCGATGGACCAGCAGTCCACAGCCTTGCTGTAGGGTTTCTGGGCCAGCACTTCCGGAGCTGCGGCAGACGAATGGCAGAGTCAGGGCTGGAGGAGAGGAGAGGGCTGGGGCGCAGGCCCAGAAGAGCCTAAGGGACAGGGGTGGCCGGTGGCATGGCAGCATTTCTATGGGCCTGAGAGTCCCCAAGGGCAGGGCCGCGTCCCTGGGAGACCGGCTTTCTGGGAGGCTGACTTCCGCAGAAGACCCTGCCATCAGACCGGGGGTCCCCAGTGCTGGCGCCCCTATCTCTGGGCCGGGCCGTCTCCCTACTCAGGCAGGGGTCCCCAGGGCAAGGGCTGTATCTGCCCTTCAGAGTAGGAGAGCACAGGCAGGAACATTCCCCCAGTTCCGGTGCCTTCTTGGGTGGAAGCTTCGTCTGTCACGGCCTCAAGTGGAGGCCAGGCAGTTGGCAGGCAGCGGCCTGTGTCCCACAGACCCCCAGAGTGCACCCACTGCAGCTCCTTTCTGAGAGCAAACAGGCTCCCTCTCTGCCTCGGGGCTCTGCTTCTTGCTTTCCGACCCCGAGCAGGTGGTGCCCAGCCAGGAGGAAGGGTCCAGGTGATGTCCTGGAGTTCAGCTCACTCCCTAGGCCCAGGACCCAACAGGGCTGCTCAGGCCTGAGGCCACGTCTGCCAGCTCTCTGGGTGCTTCCAGGGGGCGTGACAGCTGTGTGCCCAGGCCCACAGCTGGGGGCTGGATCTCAAGTGGCCAGAGCGGGGTGAATGTTTGGCCAGAAACACAGGATCTGGGCCTGACAGGATCTGGGCCTGTGGCCTTGTCTTCTGGAGGGCTAGGCAGGAAGTGCAGGCCGTGGAGGGAGGGAGGGAGGGGCAGTCTGGCTTAGACCAGCGTGGCTTGGGCCTCAGCCTCCAAGGCAGACGCTTTGCCTGGATGACGCACGACACCGAACCCACTCTCTGGGTGGGGTGTGACTTCCCTCCTGTGCCCCTACTCACCCACGTAGCCTGGGGTCCCGCAGGCCGTGGACATGACCCCGCTCTGCTCCATCTTGGACAGACCGAAGTCTGTGATCATGATCTTCGAGTTCTCCTCAGGGGTGAGGTACAGCAGGTTCTCTGGCTGCGGGAGGAGGAAGCCCACAGTGTCTTCCTCCCCTCCCGGAACTTTCAGGGCACTGAGCCCTGGGCTCCTGCTCACTTCTGCCCCGCCCGTACCTCCCTCCTGCACCCAGTGCTCTGTGGCTCATCCGGTCTTGACATGGCTCAGCCCGGTGACCCTTTCCCGTGTCACAGCCATGCCAGGACTGTCTGGTTTTTGAGGGAATCTACACTCTCAATGGCCTCTGGTCATACCAAAGCCTGTGGCCATCCCAAGGGGCCATGTAACCCTGATAAGTATTTGCTGCCCTTGACTTGGATTGGGTTCTAAAATGGGGGGATTATTTTACACCCCTAAGGGTAAGGTGTAGTGAGAGGTTCAGGGAAGGCCAAGGCGCAAATTTTACTGCCAATTCAGTGCCCCCCGCCGGCCATTTCAGGAATCTGAGGGCAGAAGAGGCCTGGGGAATTCAGTGGCCCAGGCCTCACAGAGCTCCTATTTTTCACGCTCCTTGTGGCCTCCTGAGGACCACGGTTGGTTTGGCGCCCGCATCCTGCCCGGGTACCTTTAGGTCTCTGTGGACAATGCCGTTCTCGTGCAGGTACTTCACTGCCGACAGGACCTGCCGGATCACCAGGCTGGCGTCCTTCTCTGTGTAGACACCTCGCTCCAGGATCCGGTCGAAGAGCTCCCCGCCGGAAACACTGTGGGCACAGGAAGAGGGTCCTCAGTTCAAATTGTGGAGATGCACATGTGTTTGTCCTGCAGGCGGGGACACAGGAGGCCTGGCCAGGCAGGTGCCCAGGGGCTGTGGCCGGAAGGGGGCTACATGGGCCTCGGAGTGCCTGGGCGCCCCATCTTGGGACCGAGCAGGACCTATCTCTGGAGCTTCTTCCTTGGGGCTGCCTCAGGAGCCAGTGATCCCTGGACATGGAGCAGGGCGGACTGCTCCTATGGGGCTTTTTTCATTCTTCTGGAAGGCAGGGCCACCTAGAGCTGGAATTAGGAGCGCAGGGTGTTTGGAGACTCACATAGTGTGAGTCCTGGGGTCAGCGAGCATAAGACCTGGTCTGCCCCAGCTCCTGTCACCCACTCCACTACATTTCCTGGAAGTTTCTTGGTCAGCACTAGGACTCCAGAGTGCTGAAAAGCTCACTGCTGCCCCTGAGGGACTACCTCACCTGTGGCATCTTCCTCATGTTTCTGTGTCATGCTGCACTTAATGCCCTGTGGTGGCTCCTAGCAGAGCAAGAGAGGCACCCTTTCAGTGAACGCACTACGAGGCTTTCTCTTCTGGGGTGAAGGCCCCGCACTGTCTCCCTGGGGCTCCAGTCCTGTCCCTGCCCACTGTACCCACACACAGCAGACAGGGTGGTGTGGGCCTCTCCAGTGGACGCACTGACCGCTCCGTTTCTGTCTGGGTGCTCAGCTGCACTATTGGGCAGAGCCCCAGGAAGATGGTCTGTCCACAGCCCAAATTCCAGGGAGCCAGTGAGTGCCCCTACGAGGTGTGGTGGCTCCTGAGCAACACTCGGCCTCTCCTTCTTGCCTCCAGTTAGCCACAGTGTGGTCGTGCTAATCTGCTGATCTGGCTCCGTGGGTACCATATGGCCCGGGTCCTGGTGCCGCTCCGGGCCCTCACTCCCTGCCATCTTTCTTTCCTGGGCCCTGGGAGTCAGGAGGAAAAGAGCTGCTTAGACCTGGGTCAGCAGTGGCAGCTCTGAAGGATCAGCCCATCTCCAAGACCGCACGGCCCTGTACTGGTGGGCTGCAGCTCAGGAATCTGCCTCCGTATGGCCTCTCTAGACACAGCCATGGCCAGAAGCGTACTGACCCCAGATGGACCCAGCACTTATAGCTGCTTGACCTAGCTCTGGATTTTTGCCTGTTAATGGTCACCCTTCCCTCCGGCTGACAACCCTTGGGGCTCCTGGCCCGCAGGCCTCCGGAGGAGGTGGGTCCCCTTCCGCTTACAGCTGCATGACCAGGTAGTAGTGAGTGGTGCTTTCGTAGATGTCCTCCAGCGTCACAATGTTCTCGTGCTTGATCCTGGGAAGAAGTCATTGTCACGGTAAGAGAGCCAGAGAGCCACCCCAGAGTTCCTGCCAGTTTCTTTCCATTTCCTCCAAATCTGCCCTTCTTGTTCTCCTTCCTAAGAAATGGTTTCATGTCCCATGTATTGGATGTGTGCTCAGTCTCGGGATCATTTTTAATACATTTCTCTTCTGTCTTCTTACTGGCCAACCCCAAACCCACACACCTCTTTCCAGAATGTTTCTTGAGATAGTCAGCTGGGCTCCTCTGCTTGTTTCCTCACCCACCTCGTGCCCAGATGGTTGTGAAAGTCTTGTAAGGGGCCTCCCACCCTCTCTGCTGGTCTCCTATTTGTTCCATTACGTGGAAGGAGGTGGCCCTAAAACACCAGCCCATTATGAGTCCTGTTTAAAGCCCTCTTTGCCCATAGGAAAGAGCCTTTATCATGAAACCTGCGATCCTTTGTAATCAGGCCCTTTTCACATTTTAGTTTCTTCTCCCATCTTGGACGCTACTCACACCAAGTTCAGGGCTCCAGTTCCCATTTTCCTTAACAGCTCTGCCCTTCCACAGTGTCTTAAAGTTGTGCCACTCTTGGCCCGAACTCCCTTTCTGCACCGCCCCTCTTGCTCCCACAAGCTTCTACTCCCCAGCCAAGGTCCTTCTGTGAAATGTGCCTGCACTCCTAGACCCCTGGCAGTGCAGGAAGTCTCTGTATCCCCCACATGGTGCTTTTTGGCGTCCTCACATCAGCTGGGTTGGAGCTGCAAGGCCTTCACCCAGGAAAGGTGAACTCCTGAGTGTGAGGACCTTGTCTGCCTTGGCCCTGTGGTCCTGACCCTGTAGTGTGCTCAGCACACCCTTGGTGCAGCCAGGAGTTCCACAGGGGCTCTTTGTAAAGGTCTCACTGCCCACATTTGAGGGTTGGTCAGTGTCCACCCTGATGTTGGGTGCTGAACCTCTGTTTGCTTTGGACAAAGCTGAGACTAATTTCCAAGTCTTATGGTGCCTCCTTCTCACTGACCTTTGCAATGGCTGCCTGACTCTTGTTCCTTTGGGTTAATCACACCCTAGCCCATGTGCACAGCCCAGCTCCGCCCATGCGTCAGCCTGGCCAGCTGCCTGACTATCCCAGCCATCAGCTCAGTCGGGGAGCAGTGCCCCAGGCACGGACTGCCAGTCAGGAGTCCCTGAAGGTCATTTGGGATGGACCTGACCCACCCTGGACCACTCACTTCCTCAGCACTGCAATCTCGTTCTCCAGGCTGCTGTCCCGGAAGGCGGGTGACTTCTTGATGCACTTCAGGGCATAGAGCTTCCCGGTCACCCTCTGCTTCACCAGGAACACTTCTGAGAAAGCTCCCCTGGGGGAAGACACCAAGAGAGGGAACTTAGTTCTGGCAGGGTAGAGAACGTTCTGAAGTGGGACGACAGGGTGGACTTAGGGAGGCGCAGCTGACAGGAATTTCCATCGGAACAGGGCCTATCTGATGTGCCAGGGTGCTCTCCTTCACCTATCCCAGGGGAAGGAAGTGATCTGACCTCTAGTCAGGGGTGAGGCAAGTGCTTTCCTGTTCTTACAGTTTCGGGACAACTCCCAGACACTCCGCTTTGGCTGTGGAGATTTCCCCATTAAAGAGAGTCCGCTCCCAGTGTGGTGCGGTGTGGCCCCCTGGAGTAGCGGGGCAGGGGCACTAGGGAGGGTGACTTTCGGATGGTGATAATCAACTGGAATCAATTTTTGGAGCACAAGGGGACCCAGCACCCGTGTTCATGTGTGGGACCCACAAGGCCTCAAATAGAACCCAGCAGCCTGTGGGGCAGGCAGGCATCCACAGAACCCAGCAGAACAGCAAGGGAGCTGGGGTGCTTGCTGTGCCCATTGTCCGTGTCAGAATCTCAAGCCACTTAGCGTCTGTGTATCGTTTTCCTCGTCTGAGAAGCGGCAGTGCGGACTGATTCCTGAGGTTGGTTGCTTAGAGAAGGAGCCAAAATATGTAAAGCACTTAAGTGTTCCTGATGTCGATCAACACTGAGTGCACTAGGTACTTTCATCGCTGCTACCTTTCCTGGAACGCTGATGTGGTCAACTAAGCAATACAGAGAGCAGGCAGAGTCCAGCTGAGGAGGGAGCTATCCGCTCCCTGCCCTCTGTGTCTTCTCGAAGGATAGGTAGCTGAGCCTTGGATGTTAAAAGCCACATTAGACAGAGCGTGGCCTTTTGGGTCTGGGTCCCTGACCCCAGATGATGCACTTAAAGAGTTTCTTGGAGCCTTCAGAGCTTGGTCTGCACAACTGTCCCGGGTCACTCTCGCGCCAGGATCTCCTGGGCACCACTGCGCCTGAGACACTGTAGACGAAAGGGCAAGTGCGTTTTTGTTCTGAAGGAGCCTCTAGGCAGCGAGGATTCTGTGCAAAAATGGCCATGAGATGTTCTCTGCATGCTTGCTGAGCTGCCGGGACCTCTCTGTGTCAGGCGCTGGGGTGGGAATTTGTTAGCGTAGCAGTCTGCGCAAAAGGCACCGGAGAGGAACGGCACATTGTGAGACCGCAGAGCACAGGCTCTGACCACAGTGTCCTTCGGGTGGCTGGGCAGGCTGGGCCCGCCCAGCACCGGCAGAAGCTGCTCGCCTCGAAGGCCCTCTCCTGTACGCACTCATGGGTAACTGCCGCGATTCCCAGCAACTCCCACACAAGGGAAAGGGACGCTTTTGCCTTCATCTGCACACAGCGACCCCTTAGTCTAGCCACGGGACCCCACACGTGGCTCTTTGACCTAAGAATAGCTTTGAGCTCAGCTTTAAGGGAGGAAAAGTAAAGGTGTGCTGCAGCAGGTCAGAAGGGGCGGCCTGGCTTGGGAAGCCGGAGGTGGGGACGACAGGACGATCGAGCCAGCTCCCGCACGCTTGTGTAGGGAAAGCGCTCGACGTACATGAAGCGGTGGACGGGCAAGAAGTGTGGGCTAGGGTCCGCTGTGTGTTCTCGTTTTTAGACTTTGCTTTCCTCATCTGTGCAGTAACAGTTCACTGTGGCCTCACAGATTCTTTCCAGCATGGCATATGGAACCCACTGCCAGAGCCCATCCTGTCTCCCGCCACTCCGACGTTCCACTGGCTTCAAAGCTCACACTGCCTCCTCTGATGTCAAATTAGGGCCTTCAGTTTGCCTGACTGTGAGGAAAGCGCTCACACTGCACTGCTCGTTAATGGCGCCCCCTAGAGTCGTGCAGTTACGGCACTTTGAGAGGGTTTCATCATTCTTCTGCCCTGGCCGCGCTATCACGTACTGTGTATGGGGGAGAGGTGGCAGATCAAAGGGCCTAACCCTGCCACCATAAGGCTCGGGCAGAGAGCTGTGAGAAGCAGTAGAGGTAGCAGAGACCAGAGACAAGATGGGCGGGGCTTTGGAGCCAGGATGCTCGCTGTAGTAGGACCTGGTCACACTTCCTGCTGTGAAGAGCTCTCCACTCCTTCGGAGGCTATGGACGAACACTTCATCCCGGGCAGGAAGGAGCAGGCCTGGGCCTGAGCAGTGGATCCCCTGCTGTGGACTATTTGGCTCACTGCTATGGCTGCCCAGGTTTGAAGAAAGCCGGTCTTTCTGGTGGTTGCTTCAGAGGAGCCAAGGGCCAGTGAGAAAAGACCTGTGTCACGGGGTCCAGCGAGTGCCCTGCAGGCCGCCCGCTCTGCCCAGGTGCCCTCGTCTAGCACACCTCACCCTGGTAACTGTGGCGCAGTGGCCTGGGGCGCCGTCTTCCCCCGAGCACACAGGGTCCACGGCCCAGAGTGCTGTTCCTCCTTGGCCTCTGCAGTCCTTACTGCACACTGTGCCTGGGCGGTGCACAGTGGGGTCAGGACCAGGTGCCATCCCCGGCATCTTGGGTCCTGTTGGACTCAGATGCAGACCCTGAGGGTCGGGAGGCTGGCTGTCGATGGGGGTTAACAGCCGGGGCTGGGGGTACTGGTGTTCACCGTGTTGTTTTGCTCTTTCAGCTTTTCACAGCTGGGGCGGCAGGCTCTTCTGGGTCCGGCTGTCCCTGTAGGTTCAGGCTTGTGTGCAGTGGGGTTCATGGAGTGTCACAAGGTGGAGGGGAAGAGGGGGAGACAGGGAGGGGGCGCCCGGCTTCCTCCTTCCTGTCTGGGGCTGCTTGGCAAACCACTTCCCATTCACTCGGGCCGCCCTCCTGCTGAGACCCTCTCTCCCCACCCTGCCTCCTGGGCAGAGGCAAAGGCCTTTTGCTGGTGACCAGCGCTCAGCTCCCCTGTTTGTGGAGCCCGCCTGCATCTGTGTGGGGAGAGCGGAGGTCTCCTCGCACCATGCCCTGCTCCTGTCTGTGGGCCCTGAGTTCACTGCCTCCCGGCCAGGGCCTGGAGGAGCAGAGCTGAGGCTGAGCCAATGGAGAAAAGCCTGCCTGCAGGACAGCCAGTGGCCCACTCCGCCCGCGGGCCCAGTAGCGCCGAGTAATTAGCTGACCAGCCGGGCTGGCGGCCTGTGTCGTGGAGTAGAGAGCAGCCTGGGGGGAGAGGCCTAGCTGCAGGAGCACAGTTCCAGACAGGCTGTCTCCGGCCTGCCGGCCAACAGGCCGCCCGCGCGAGGGGCTCCACACACCCCATGGGCTACAGTGCAGCTGTCCAAAGTGGGGTCGGCCCGGGCATGGATGGGGTGCAGTGAGGTGGCGGCAGGAGCCTCAGCAGCACCCTCGTTCCGCTCTTCTGTGATTAGGGCAAGAATCTGCAGAAGCAGGGCGGGCGCCACCTCACTGGCACAGGAGGGCACAGAGCTGCGGGCAGGGGCTCGTGCTCCCCCAGCCTGTCCACCTCAGACCCAAGGCCCGGGGCCCCCAGAGCCAGGTGCCGACACTTACGACCCCAGCGCCTCCATGAAGATGAAGGTCTTGCGAATGTTGGCTGTCTGCTTCCTCCAGGAGCTGCAGTCGTCCTCTGCCTTCCGACCCATTGCCGCCAGAGTCGAAGCTGCTGGGGTCGCTTTGTAGGAGAGAGAGACAAACAGGTCTGATCACCAAATTTCATTTTCTGAGTAACATGGGAACAGGTTGCAAAAGAATCTAGAATTCATCACTTATGTAAAGGCCAAAAGCAGGGATTGGGAACAAATCCTGGACAACGGCAAAAATAAGTCTTTCACCCATTTATAAACTCTGTGTGTGTGGTGTGAGTGGGGATTGAAATAAGCTCCTCCCCAGTCCTTTTGACTTTAATTTTATTTTGTTTTGAGGCAGGCTCTTGATAAAATGCCCAGGCTGGGCTCCCACCTGCCGTCCTCCCGCCTCAGCCTTCCCCAGTGCTGGGGGTGCCGGGCACATCACACCCAGCCCGCTGGCTTTTCAGAATACCCAGGACAAGTGTGTCCTTTGTCAGCTACAGCACATCGTGCAGCATGCACAAAGGGTCGGAGCTGGCGGTGAGGCCCCACGGTGCACCGCTGTGGGACGAGAGTGCAGACTCAGGCACTCCCCCTGGGGTGCCGGAGAGCTGCTGGCTCTTTGCGGTGTCACAGCAGTGCCTGGCCATGGCCCTTCTCCGACTCCCCTGCTGGGCGAGGCTTGAGCAGATGTGCTCTGGGTTTGCTCTGCAGCTCCCAGCCTCTCACGCAGCTCAGGCGAAGCCCGAAGTGAACTTCGTTCTGACTGTGTCAGAGTTCTGGAGTTGCCACATTCTTGTTTGTCTGTTTAGTGGTACAGGGGGTTAAGCCGGCCTTTGCACCGAGCTTCATCTGCAGCCCTTTTTCATTTATTATTTTGAGACACTAAAGGCCTCACTAAATTCCTAACTTGCTCAGGTTGGGCTTGAACTTGTCCTCTGCCCAGCTTCCCAGGGTTCTGGGATCACAGATATGCACCACCACGCCAGCTTGGAGTCATCGTCTGTTTCAGCAGTCAACACAGGCCATGCCCAGGGCTGGATACATGATGGGGGACACAGGGGGGGCTGCAGGCGAAGGAGACAGGCAGCGTGTGCGCGTGGAAGACTAACATCAGGCTCACGCTTGGCTGGGCCGGGGCCTGTGGAGGGGTGCATAGGTGCAGTTGTGTCCGGCAGAGGAAGGGCCATCCGGGCTCCAGCTCCTGGACCCTGAGAAGAGAGCGCAGCCCAGTGGCTGGGGGAGTTTGGACGAGGCTGGGGGTGCAGTGTGAGTGCAGCGGTGCACCATGGGGTGGAGGTCCCTGTGGGAAGGCCCGTGGTTCTGGCGGGTGCTTGTGGGGTGTCCCGGCCTCCTGAGGTCCCATACACTGAGGGGTCTGCTCCCCTGCGTGCTCTGTCCTGGCTCCGGGCTTCCAGCGTCCTCCAGAGACAGGAGACACTGCCTATGCAGAGGCCCCTCCCTGCATCCCGAGCTCACAGGGGCAGGAAAATGCGTCCACGGCGCCCTCTTGGGCAGCACCGTCCGCGCCCAGAGCCGTGTGTGGAGCCCCGAGGCAGTCCTGTGTCCCAGAACAGGGAAGTCTGCGCCTCCACAGCTCGGCACCAGGAAGAGCAGAGCCATGGGCCAGGCTGAGCTGGGGCCTTCCCTCTGCCCGCTCCCTGCTGTCCACCTCTGGGGGGCTGGCAGGCTGCTCTGGGGAGGTAGGGGTTGGCCTCGCAGACCCCACTGCAGACCCCGAGCCTGCCTGCTGGCCCTTCTCAGTGCCACGCGGAACCTGCCTGCTTCAGCTGTCGGGCTCTAGAGCGGGCCCGGCGGG